GAAATGAATCAGTACTATTTGGTTAAAAGAAATCGATATATGTGATGACGAATATCATTATAAGGAAAAAGTTGATCCAAAATAATCATAAATAGATTTATTCAAAACAATGAATTTTAAAGCCTAAAATAATGCTCTCAATGAGATATAATGAAATTGCAATAAACCATTTCTAAAGTTCCTATATGTCATAAAATAGTGATTGCTTCACATTACTAGACTTAAAGGAGCTTCAATTGTACAAAATGTTTTAAAAAGTACAAGTAACCTAATTTTCTCATTTGCTTATAGTTGATTGTTTGAATACATTTCTATCATTCAGGTTGTAGGAATTTTGGATGCTGTATAATTCTTTTAAATCATATTTTTGTATGACGTATCTAAATACAAACGGTATTACCGTTTGCAGCAAAGTTCATAAGATTTGGAACATTTAAATACTGCACTAAATATGACTAACACATCTTCATCAGGCTATTTATTACACCTTGAATATGATATACATTTTTATATTCAAATTGTATTGCATCTTTTAAATTCATCCGAATAAATCTTATTAGTTCTTCATGTTAAGAGTGCTGCTAGTATGTATTGATAGATGTCCATTTCTTTGTAGATTTTGTGCTTTTTTCTAGATATGGTATGTCCGATTTAATAGTGAAAACTATTCATATTGGCTAATAAAGTATCAGAAAGACTTGACCATCACAATTGTTCTTATCTATCTTACACAATAGATTAATTCATTAGGAACCTAGTATTGTTCAGATACGGAAGATCTTAAACACCACTATAAAATTGTATTATTTGTTAAAAGCAATTATTGAATAAGAAGAAACCAATTTATATGAATTATGGAATTATTACGAGGAACAGGCTAGCTGAATAATAATTTGCATGAGGGAGGGAAGCTTGTTCGTATTTCTGATAAATAATAATTGATGTCGTCATTATTCATGTATATCTTAATTTACAAGTATAATTTATAAAATTCAAGAGATTCAATATTAATCTGATTGCATATCTTCTCAATTAACTCATTCAACTTTTGGATTTAAAAAGCGATCTTGTTAACTGAATTATTAGATTATGCAAGTAAGGTTTGTGTAAACCAAGATAAGTTAATCAAAACCTACACAATTCACTGTGCTAAAAGTATGAGTGTATATAGCCAAAACAACCTAATGAGGTATTGAAAGCGAATGGTTGCACAACAATTATTCATTTAGACATAATCTAAATGCGGCACATACTGTGAGTTGTATGATAGTCTACCACTGATTCAATAACAAAAAGTGAAATTATTTTGTAATGACTAATGAATTTAAATGGTTCAAATTATTTATTCTTTTATATTTTTCTCTATCAGTGTGAAACACAAGCAGACGGATAGTTAAAACTTAGTGATAAAAATGCATACTTTTTCATGGAGTAGGTGATGAATTCATTTTTTTTAAAGTGTATGCCAAAAGAGACGGTTCAGCGAAAAACTTTCTTCTCCGACAACTTGACTTACTTGAGCTGTACAATTGTATCCATGAATAAATTTTCACAAAATTTCGGTGACCTACGAAGCATATGAGCGGCTTTTTGTCACAGACTCTGTAGCTGTCTATGAAATATCATCATCATTTAATTTAACAAGAAAACAGGTATTCTATATCGCCATGACTAAAGCTATCTTTAATTTTTATGAACAAATGATTAAGTTCAAAGCCATCATATGAATATAAATTTTTGAAAGTTTAACATCTGTGCCACTAGATCAAGAGTACCACAGAAGTTCTTGATCTTTGACCATTAATATTTGATAGTTATTCTGTGATTATATTCAAGCATTTTGATTACGCGGTAAATCCTATTTCAGTTATAACAATCAATAACATGCAATGTCACTTGCTATTTTGATTGAAAATACTTTTATCATTTGAATCAAAAACAAACAAGGATAATCGCTGAATTTTGTGTGCTACAGATACGTATTTATCAAACAGTTTACAGCCATTGAACATAGATCTGATGTGTGGCATATGTGCTCCAAAAAATAACAGACGCATTAGAACCAGAGTACGTTCAACTGTTTTAACAGTCCCGTACGTATGTACGCAATAAAATATATCCTTGATTGTTGAAATCATGCTCAAATAAAAAACATGAAATGTTTCGTACCTTCTGTTAATTTTTTTACCTAATATAGTCTAACTATTCGTTGACCAGCAGTAAATGGAGTTTAATCACCAAAAAAATTTCAAAATAATTTAGTCATAGAGCCAAAAAAGAGCACACATATAAGCTGCCAATCACTTTATACCACATCTGGATGTTGCCTTAGAATGAACATTAGAATGATAATGTTGAGCAGTTTTAAACACAGACGTAAAATAATAACAAACGTGAATAAAATTGAAATTCTCCTAAAATATTATACTCTTACTTAATGTGCTAACTTTGGGAATTTACGAAAATTTCTACTCCTAAAGCGTTTTTACCTATTCAAGGACAAATGAAAACCCAATGAAAATAGAAAACGTGACTGACCGAAAAATATGTAAGTAAAGAATATTAGAAACAATATCATTTTGATTAGACGTTTTAAGTGGATCGCCGATTAAGGGGTGTTTTTGCTATTTTATTACGCATTGTAAATTATCCTATTATACGTGCTATTTACTCGTAATGATAATGATATTGCGCGTACGTAACAAACAATTTGTTTAACTTCATCTGCACTGACTTCTAAAAATACGTCAGTGGAAATATTTAAAAAAACATAAGAGAGAAAATTAAAGCATGAACAAAACATCAACTGACCACAAACTCACGAACACATATGTGACTTTTGAATGAGGTTGACGTCTCAAAGTCCAATAGTACGTAATGTAGTATGATATAACAAAAGTGTGAACAGAATGTTTCATGAGAATTGTTGCACAATGAACTCACTAACGATTGAACCCCTTTAGGTCAGTGTTTACTAAATTTTATTATTTCTATATTCTGTTTCACTATCAGTCGCTTAATTATGTCATACTTCAGCTCCATGCATTTCCAGCATTCTGATCATATATATGTTGATTTGTCAAAGCATCCATTTCTGAAAAATTGAAAGTCAACTATAAAAATTGGAAGTCAATATGAAACAAGGTGATAAGGAAAGCCATGTTGAAGACACGACGATCAATTAAAGTCAACAGGCCCATTAGTGACCAAGGAAGTAGATTTAGTCCATGTAGTGGTAAATATATCCTCTTTTAAACACTTCTGCAGCATCGCTATTATTCTCATTAGTTTTAACTACCACACACTGAACCTAAGCATTTCACTTAAGCATGTGCGCAGTGCAACATATTACCGAAATAACTGTATATCACCAACGTAGATGATCTATATAGAACTGATTAGAGGCCTAAACGAGTTAGAAGGGAATGGTGTGACGAATCGGCTAAATTCAAAGCCACACCCCGTGGCCAGCACCTTACGTGGATTACCCCATTGACGTATCATGGCACCATAGATGCTTTGAAGACTGTACAACACAGAGGACGTTATTACAGGAATATATTAGTTAAGGTAGATGCAAGCGAAGGTAAGACCACTATCACACCGGCCAGTTCATAGCGTACGATTAACCATATGCGCGTTGGCTGTCTTTTTTCTTGATGAGGATCGATGATTTGCTTGATATTCAATGAGCCAACTACAGGATGATTTGGCTAGGGCTCGGTGGAATTTCACTGGCCCCCTATAACGCTCTTCAAAATGCATTGGTAAAAAATTACACATAATGGAAAACTTCGAACTTGACTTTTTATCCATTTCACAAACCCAACAGCTTCAAATACCAGATCTATTTCATTCACTGATTCATTTAAGATTAAAGAAACGATGCTCTGATATTGTACTAAGAAGCATGTAATACACTTATAGGATGATATTCTCATGGATCTGGATTCATCAAACCATCTTTCAAAACAAAGAAGGAGCCAATCACAGAGGATATTATCTAGTGTTATACACCCATGGCAACGACAATGACAAACATCAGTCTTACAAGAGGTTGCAATCAATTGTAGCCAAGTGTCGAGAAAATAGGCCGACCCCCCTGATGGAATAGTTAAACGCCAAATAATTAGTCCCTACTCAACGGAAAGTTTCGACTAAAACTGAACGCCGTAATTTGTCAATCAATATGAAATAAATTTTGGCAATGTTCTTTTCGAAAAAAGGTTCCAAAATTTAAAAAATCCCTCAACACTTGCCTCGCCCAACAGATAATGAGACACGGTCCACCAGAACATGCCCCTGATCTCGTAGTAAAAGTATTTACTTCCAAGTGAAAGGTTTTTTGCCCGAGAGAACTCGGTTCTCAACTTATACGATTTTGTGAGTCGGAATTTTTCGGGCCATCGAAGTTGGAAGCCACTGACAGATTTCCATTCTAGCCTGAAGGAAAGTTATACATTGATGGTGTGTATATAGAGGTATGTTAGAGAGAATCTAGAACGTTTAAGATGTAAGTAGATGGTTAGGCAATCGTATAAGATACTCTTGTCTTAAGGTATGAAAGCGGTTGATAACAGCAAGCAATAACGCACACTTAAAATTAAGGCCAACTGAAAATCGAAGAAAATGGTAGGCAACATGATTCCAGGTCGATTTTGTGACTCCGTATAACGATCAAATATCCACACAGTGTTTGTTGGAAATTCATTAGACTGATGTCAGACAAGATGAAAGTCTATTAAACTACAAATTCGACTAAGGCACTATGCAACGCAAGTCGAGATAAAACACATTGTAAACCTTGTAATTAACATCTGCTTACATTTCAACAAGCTAAAACAAAATGTGAAACTTAAACAATTTTTAAGCATAAACGAAGCAAATTGATGAGCATGAACAGTGACAAGCTCAACGTAAATGTGTTGTTGTTTTAAAAGGCTAAACGAATAATACTTCAAGGTTGTTAGCGGGACGTCTCGAAACGTTGCGCTCTTTAAATGGCTGATGAGAAGCCACGAAGAAAACTAATTTTACATTTTGATGCCAGGAATACTTTGTTTCTGTCAGATAAAAGTTATCGTTTTACTATTGAAGAGGCACTGAACAATTACATTTCTGGAATTGTATGGGGTAAGCAAAATGGTAATGAGTTTTTACCCGTTATTTCTCAAACCCCAGTTTGCTGACTTTTTGAGAGTTCAAAAATTTTTTAGAAATATTTTGGGAAACAGGCGCCATAAACTTCAAGACATCTATTATTTACATGCAAGAGGAATAGCACTGGCCTCAAAATAGTGCTCTTGGGACAGTCCACTAATCACAGTTTCCCAGCTAGATAACTTTGAGTTCACCCGAACTCTTTGTTGGCGCACAACTAGGAAATCTTTTATCCACATAAATAGATTGCGTCCAATTCCGACATTTCTTAACTTATATAACAGCCGGTTGTGTGGAACCTTGTCAAAAGCTTTGCTGAAATCAATGACGGCTACATCTACTGGTGGCTTCTGGTCCTTAAGAGCGCACTAGCTTTCACGAGCCACTAATAAGTTAGTGAGACAAAAGTAACCTATTCTGAAACCGTTCTGCTTCTCCGAAAGGATCCGGTTTTTATCGAGGTACTTAAACAGCTCCTTCCGAATAATCTTTTCAAAGATTTTAACAACCACACTAGTTAGGCTAACGGGGCGGTAATTCTCAGGTTTGTGTTTCGTACCTGCTTTGAAGACAGGACTTACTGTGGCGTTTTTCCAGTCTTTGGGTAAACGACCCTGCGTTACGGATAGGTTAAAGCATATAATTTAAGGGTTCGCAACGAAGTTAGATAATTCCTTCAGTAGCCTAGGATGTAATTCATCGGGCCCTGTGGATTTATTTATGTCAAGCTTATTAAGCAGACCAAAGACATCGAGTTCTTTAATGGTCACGCTATCCAGTGTGTGTGTGGGCGGATCTGTATGCGCTGACGGAAAGGGTGCTTCTATGGTGTATACATTGCTGAAGTAGTTTGAGAACACTTGAGCCTTACCAAAGTCGTCCTCCACTAGTGACGCGGCAGTACTGTCTCCCCGTAGAGCAGGAATCTTTCCCCTTCTTTATATTTTCTTAACCCTATCTAGTCACTCATTTTACGGATCTTTTGACTTTAACGTCACCCACATGTAACAAAACTGAAATGTGTTCTACCTTTTGTCGACCGATTACCCAGACTAAAGCCAGTTTCTTGTTTCTTATTTATGGACTGAATTAGTTGTAGCGTCCTTCCATTTTTTTCGGCTTTGATTGCAATTTGTCTGTTGATCGTATCGTTTTCAATGTCTATATTCTTTGAGTAACCTGATTTAATATCATTCACAAAAACGTAGGTACATCCGCTTTTTGTCCAGCCCTAGAAACTGAGTTCCGAAATAATCTTAAACGTTTTCGTTTCTATACTGATATTGTTATCAACTATGTTACTATGAGAATAATCTTCATAAATTTATCCTGCTGTGATAACGTTCACTGAGAACGAGAAGAGGTGCACATATGTGTCAGGTTTTAAGTTACATAAAACTAATTAAATATATCATCCAGATTTCGAATAGTTTGGAAATAAATCTCATCAAGACCACTGAAATTGTCCAGTCTGAAGCATCAGTAGCTTGTTTTTTAGGAGGCGTGTCTTGTGAAACGCTGTTCGATATTTATCCCTAACTTTGCTGTTTAGTGTTTATTCTCTCCCATTTATTTGCCTGTTTAAGAAATTTACTGGTACTTAATATGCTAACTTTACACGGTTGGCCATACAAAACTGTGACCTAAAGCCAGTAATAAAGGGTTATATATAGGATCACTATCATCAATAACAAATTTTTCAAAACCTATGCATTCTTTCATATGTATTGTATCAAGTATATCATTTAACTATGTCTGTAAACACAGTATGCTATGTATATATGAGACCAGAATAACCTGATGCTTTCGTTCAAATATAAAAGGATTAAAAGTCAAACAGGCAATTTACTTCTAGTCAAAATAACCAAATCAATTTAATTACTGTTAAAGAATACAACCTAAAAAGCCAAGTTTAGGTGATATAAAAAATTATCTTATCAATGATATCACAACCGTGTCTACGTTGAATCGACAAATAAACTGGTTTATTGAAAAACCAAAAGACAATTCTACGATGGGGTGTTTGAAAATTTTAGGCATCAAAAAGGATAGCGTAATGTGTGATGAGTTAGAAAATGATAAGATAAAGCTCAAACGTATGGTAAATGACTGTCTACTTGATGAGTATGAAAAAGGCGAAGAATTTATTTGATAGCGTGTGAGGGTGTTTATAACAGACGATTTAAGAATCTAGAAAAATGCCGGAAAAAATACTAACAACTAATTTACAGAGTTTGAAAATTTATTTATTAGAGCCACTGTAGAATGGGATCTGAGATGCAACATTTTGCACACAAAATTATGACCTGAACGGGTGGGTTTTTAACCTCTTTGCAGTGCATACGTTATCGAACCACGCTCCATTTAGATGATTTTTAAAGGTATGTCGTGACCGAAGATTGGAAAATCTTTTAATATTGAGCCACCAACCGTTCTTCATCATCCGTTTGAGAGCCACGCAAAACAATAATCAAACATTTGTTTGAAAAGTGCTTGGTTTCTTTAGCCAATATAACCTGCTCCACAAGGTCGAATGAACTGATGTAAATTTTCCAACTCTTCGTGAGGCTAAAGTGGCTATAAGTAATCTAAAGTGATGGGGAGCAGAAGGACTTGACGGATTAACCTCTGAGATTTTAAAATGTGGTGGTCCAGTTTTGGCAGGTAGATTAACTGAAATCTTAGCTAAAATTTGAGAACTGGACGAAGTCCCACCTTACTAGTCTGGATTGTTAATCGTCCCAGTCTTTAAGAAAGCACAAAAATCGCCCAGTAATAGTCACAAAGGGATAATTTAGTGTCTAAAATGTTAACCTCACTAATACTTTGACGCCTATCTAGAACTCGTGAAGAGCAAACTTGAGCAAAAGAGTATGGTTTCAGACCTAGACGTGAACGTATAAACCCTTTGGCAGATTCTGAAACATAAACAAACTTTTCAACGCCTAACTATATTCGTCCTCTTAGACCTCAAAAAGGCGTTCGACTCTGTTGATCTTAGAGTTCTGTGACAGTGTTTGTCGTCGAAAGGCGTAACAAAGAGGTGTACATTGATTTTGTACATTCTCTCTACTTGAACACTAATGGTCGAGTTAGAGATTATAGAGAACTGTCACCGGAATTGTTTACTTTAAGTCGTGTTTGTCAAAGTTGTCCGCTTTCTCTATTGCTATTTAACCTTGTCATACATATGCTTTTAGGAATAACACACTTATCGTCTGACTTTTGGGGGTTGATCTTTTACCAGAAGATTCATCTATTCACTTCAGTAATGGCTTGGGTCACCGCATGAATTAGTGATGGGGAGTGAAGTAGCTGAACTCATCGATCCCTCCACTTACTATAGATACTGATGGTCTGGTATCTGACAAAATCTTGGCACGACTTCGAAGCGCTCGATTGTTTTCTGCTAACGTACGTCACTTGTGACGTAGGCGAAGCATCCGTCTTCCAAACAAGGGGATAGTTTACTGCGCAGCACTTTGTTCCGTTCTATATTTTGGATGTGAAATAGGACCACTAAGAGTAGAGAATATCTTGGGTTACTGGTATTTAATCATAGATGTCTACGAACCATTGCTCACCTATTTTAGGACTGTGGAGTAATCAACGTCTAGGTTAAGAATAAAGCACCAAATAAAGGTGGGAAATTGATTGGTGAGGTAGTGAATCTTCATCAATTGAGGTGTTGGGGACATCCCCTACCTCCACAGGGGATGCTTTCTCGTGTAGGATTAGACTGAAAGGAAGATAGGGGCGGCCAAATCAAAACATGGTCTCAGTCCATGAAGTCGTTGGCAATCGGGCTTAGCCATGTAAATAGGTAGTGACTATCTAGTTGAGGTCTGTACGATCATCGTAACCAATGGTTAGGGACTTTGAAACGGCTCATAATCATTTGCAATGGCTCACGTGCACAATAGGACGAAACGGTCGTCCAGTGCTTCCAGGTTTTCAATGGTGGTCTAACATCAATCAGTTAATGGTCTCAATCAAAAACTTATATTATTTAGTTTACTCTTTTAAATTTTGTTTCTAAAAATGTAAACATTTATACGCTTCTCGCTGATGAATTAAGGAGATACCTGTATATTTATATTTCATCAGATTGATTCATTAAATCTATTTACGATCCAAATACCTTCATTAGGTACTACTTCGTTATTCAGATTGTGATCTGTGATCTTCAATGAGTATTCCAGGAGAAAATCTAAAATATTTTAGGTTCTATCATTATCACTACTTATTGATAAGGAAATTTTATGTTTTAAGAAACATTCATAATAAGTTAAAGATCTAAAGATCTTTCTCTGTATTTTAGTTTCGGTTATTAATCATGATTTCTCACAGCTATGAATGTTTGACTTTATAGTTTAATAAATCATGAGTGATATTCCCTATAAATACAGGAACTAAGAATTTTTGGTGAAATATATGAAATACTCATTGAGAATGTTGACTTTTGTTTGAAAAAGTACTTTATTGAATAGAATATCTTCTATCAAATGAATTAAGTATAGTATTAATAGATAGAACAAGTTCTTGAAAGCTCTTGTAATGTTCAATATTTGATTTACTACTTGAATAATTGTCAATGAACTAAGTTTAGAAAATTCACTTGGTATTGTTTGCTTGAATCTTCCTGTTAGCGGGACATAGACTGGATTAAAGCATGCTCAATGCACGATTGCTTTCGTGCACGCTGATTGGCTAATTCTTGTCCAGTCAGCGTTAGTCAATACTTAGTGAACACTCTAGAAATCTTCTCATGTGAAAAACTATAAATATACTAACTTTTTCCCTATTGTACTTACTTACTTGCTTCTTACTTCCATCTAACCTTGTTATTTGGAATATAATCTCTTTCCTGTTCAACCGTGTTCTGATTCGGGGACTTGTCGAGCGAATCGGTGTTCGAGAATACTAAGCAATAACTGTAAGCGAGAAATATAACACTTCCCATTGATGGTTAG